CCATCGTTCGTTATGTCCATGTAGCTTATAGAGTGTACAGGAGCGTCAAACAGTTTTCTGGCGGCCAATTCCCACGTGTCGCCTGTCAACGCAAAGATCAGGACCTCCTGACCGTAAGTACCGAGCAAGATCTCGTTTTGACCGTCCATATTTATGTCCGCGATACAGCAGCACAGAATACAGTCCGACGATTCGCTGCCGCTCAATATTACGTCCCGTTTCATCCCGTGCTCCAAGATATCTCTGGTGGAAGACGGATACTCGGATACTCTTAATCGTCATACGTCATGAAAAATCTTCAGATACTTATTTTTATTAATTCATAAACTACTTACTTAAAGACAACAGCGTTACTCGTACTTGAAATAACGACATTTAATTTCGGGACATCATCCTTCGGGACACATTTCTCGACTGAAATTTTTAACAATTTTTATCTTTGTCTTACACACACACGCACGTACAACGCACCTAAAAGTCCTAAAATACTTACAATTGACGTCTACAAAGGTTGGTTTACTAATGGCATTCCTATGCGGGAATACTATCACACTCGGTACAGGCTTGTCGTATCTTAGCAGCCAGCTTCGAATAACCTGTAGGTCCACGACGTTTACTATGGCAACTTTGACTAGACCGCATTCACAGCCGACGGCGGTGACCCTCCTGGTTTTGCACGCGTGAGACGGTATAATAAAATATCGAAATAAGAGAACAAAGCGCGATTTCGTTTTTTATCATACAAACCGTTTGTAATTGTCGTAATAATAAATATTGATCCACAGTGCAATCGCTTGGATGTCATGCAGTTCCGGGAAATATTTCTCGATAGAGGACTCGCTGTAAACGTGGCTCAATTTATCTTCCCTTATCATGTGAATTCTATAATCGCTTCCAGATATCAGCCAGACTACCTGCAAATTTGGAGTTGTGCTGTATCACAAAGCGGCAAGGTGTTTGTGATGGTGCAAAGCGATTGTAGCTTATTGACAGTTTAAACTATGTATTTCCAATATACCTCCTGTACAGAATTTTCTTGCGGTAAAACGGTATGATACAGATGGTAGGGAGTATACGACAGCTCCACCATGAGACAATTCTGCGCTATGGCTTCAATCGAACTGCCCTCATCCCCTTCGCCGTCGACCGCACCTTCCGTGTATATGTTCAAGTACCTTTCTATCGTGTCTGTGCTTGTCTTCATGATCGTTATGCCTATCACAAAACTGTCCCCGGTGTCGGACTTGTTGTAAGCGTCGATGGAAATAATTTCTGCTCCACCTGAGGAGCAGATGAAAGAAAGATTACACATGACGCAGATTGATTATAAAGAAGGTACACTGATCAAAGAAGGTACATCTCCGAACATAATGGTTTATACATACTGGGAATGTACGTGAACAGTAATTCCTTCACCATAGGCCTAAGAAACTCCGACGTTTGATGATACTCGCAGGAGTATATCTTCCTTTTCAAGGACGCCACCAATAACTTATTGGGACTGTTGGGCGAGCACAGTTTGGTCATGGAATAAATGTTGCCCTGCGACGCCAGGGGAAACCAGTGCGCATCTATGAGATTGCTCATCATCGTAGATCTCGTCAGGAAGACTGAAGCTAAAGTGAAATAAATAACATAGGCCAGTATTATCGTACTCCGTTTTTAAATTCAAACGTCTCTGGTCTTAAGATGTTATAAATATAAATCAACCACGGCATATTAGCGTCTTAAAAAATTACTTGACGGGCATCTATGGGGGGAGGGGGGCAAAACAAAACAAAAAGAAACGAAGTAGACAAACCTCTGTAGTCTATCGCGGCTCTATCACAAACTCATGCCGAATTGAGGTTAACAATTTGGTGCAAGGTGTTTACAACTTGTTACAATCGATCATTGAAGAGAGCTCGCTGTCTAACGTTCGGCCTAACGTGAATTCCGCGTCGAGTCCTCGCAATTTCCCCTCTCAATCTCATCCGGTCTCATCGCCGGACCCGTGAAACGCATCGCGATCGCGGACGCGGCGGGGAAAGTCGGGGAGAGAAAAGTCGTGTGTGCCTTCTTCTTATTCGGCAACGTAATTGCTCCGCGTGCGCGCGGAGTTTCGCAATCGCTTTCGTAATCGCCGTCGCCTTGAGGGAGCCGCCGAGTCGCGGGACGATGACGCGATACGTGAAAGTGGGTGTTGCCCGTGCCCGTCTCGCGACGGCCGGGCACAGTGCGCACCAGGCAGGCCACCAGCCACTCGCGGCACGGCACTCACTCACAATACGAGTACTCACACGGCACTCGCGCGAGTCACATCGACTACGGACCTGCCTTTACGTCCCGGCATCCCGAGTTTTCCCACCGACAGGAGATAGAGACCGGTAAGAGGAGCAAGAAACGTAAAAAAGGAGGCCGTCCTCGGCTCGTCTTCCTAGCTCGCGTTCGTAACTCGAATCGGTAATATCCTCTTTTCCTTTTTTACCTTTCCGTCGCGTCCCTATATCCATTGGTATCGGAGTCGACGGAGTAGCGATCCTTGGGGTGAACCGAGCTCCGATCAGTTTAATTGATTCACATCCATTTCTACCAATGTAGATTACTTTAATCTCGGTTTAACTTTTACTCGTTATCCTTTTCTGGTTCTAAGAATTTAGAAGAAGACCAAAAGTAAAGTAAACCGAGATTAAAGTTAATCTACATTGGTGTAAAGTGGTGTAAAAGTAAACAAACTGCTCAAAACAAAGCTTCTATCCTGTATAATTCGTCATGCTTAATATTTTTTCCATGTGTTAAACGGCAAAAAGTAATTCCATGTTTTTAACGAACGAAATACAGCGAGTATAGATATACTTGGTAAATTAATCAATGATTAAATTAATCGGAGTTTGTGGTTTGAAGCGCGACGGAGCGTGACGCTGAGGACACGACACGACGTACGTTCCGTCGGGAGCCGTCGATCGAAACCGCACCACCGGTTTTCGATCGCTAGCTTCGTCGTGCTTTGTCGCGGTGACCGATAAAATCTTTCTGGCGTCATCACGCCAACTCACGTGAAACGTCAAAAAGCGTCGATATAGCTGCCGGAGTCGATGACGCATATTCGTTAACGCTGCATTCTGTTTCGCCAGGTATATAGCTCCGCGGAGTTTCCTGCGAACCGTCACTGAGGAACGAAGGTCAAGATGTCGCAGCAAAAATATTATCCATTCAAGGTACGGGTACGTGATCGTTCGTAGAAATTGCCGAGTGGCGAGATCATCGCCGGTTAGCGCGACAATTAGCGGCATCGGTCTCTATTTCCGGAGCACCGGCGCGGCGGGTGGAGTCGATCATCCGTATTTTTAACACGTCAGCCTAGTTCCCAAGTCGATTCGCGTTCCACCGAAGTTATGACTAATTGAGCGCGAAGTCGCCAACTATAGAATCTTCCTCGGGATCAAATCGATTTTGATATTCCTCTTGCACGAGGACTGAAGAAAATATACTTACAATTAAATGCCTGTCAATATCGTGGGAGTTGTCTCTGTTCCTTTTAAATATTTTATATGATTAAAATTTATGTATTTGAAATTAATACGATTCTCTGAATGCGTGATATATCCGATTTATAATCATGATTTTATAGAGCGTAATATTTTTTAAATAAAATATACTTAAATGCCTGTCAATATCGTGGGAGTTGTCTCTGATCCTTTTAAATATTTTATTTGATTAAAATTTATGTATTTGAGATTAATATGATTCTCTGAATGCGTGATATATCCGATTTTTAATCATGATTTTATAGAGCGTAATATTTTTTAAATAAAATATACTTAAATGCCTATCAATGCCGTGGGAGTTGTCTCTGATCCTTTTAATTATTTTATACGATTAAAATTTATGTACTTGAGATTAATATGATTCTCTGAATGCGTGATATATTCGATTTATAATCATGATTTTATAGAGCGTAATATTTTTTAAATAAAATATACTTAAATGCCTATCAATGCCGTGGGAGTTGTCTCTGATCCTTTTAAATATTTTATACGATTAAAATTTATGTATTTGAGATTACTATGATTCTCTGAATGCGTGATATATCCGATTTATAATCATGATTTTAGAGCGTAATATTTTTTAAATAAAATATACTTAAATGCCTATCAAT